GCTGGTGTTTGTGGTGTATGGTTTGGAATGCCTTGCGACTGCGGCTGCGATCTGCTGTTGCTGCGCACATTCTGCTGCTGCTGCTGCTGCTGCTGCTGCTGCTGCTTTTGCTGCTGTTGCTGCTGCTGCTGCAGTACGCACGTGGTGTATTGCAGCAGCAGAGGAAGACGGAAGGACCAACCGCGAAGAGCACTGCTGCAGCTGTCGGGTATGCAGCAAACAGGAGACACCTGAAGTGAGTCTTTCTCTCGCTGCTGCTGCTGGTGCTGCTATTGCTGCTGCTGCTGTTGCTGCTGCTGCTGTTGCTGCTGTTGCTGTTGCTGCTGCTAATGTTGTTGCTGCTGCTGCTGGTGCTGCTGGTGCTGCTGCTGTTGCAGCTGCTGCTGTTGCTGTTGCTGCTGTTGCTGCTGCTGCTTTGCAATGATAGGTGCTGCCGGCTTCGGCTTGGAAAAGCGGCTAGCCAATGCTTAACCCGCAAATATCGTTTCTGCTGCTGCTGTTGCTGTTGCTGTTGCTGCTGCTGCTGTTGCTGCTGCTGCTGCTGTTGCAGGCATGCAGCATCTCGGAGCGTTATCCTCTGCGCGTTGTGAAGCAAAGCAGCAAAAAACAGCAAATAGATGTCTTGTCTCTCTTCCTTTTATCAGGGGCCCCAACGGGGGCCCCTGAACTCAAATGGTGGAGGGCCCCCAGAAAGGACCCTAAGGGGGGCCCCCCTGTTCAGGGGCCCCCAGGAGGGGGGCCCCCTAAGGAGGGGCCCCCAGGAGGGGGGCCCCCTAAAGAGGGGCCCCCAGGAGGGGGGCCCCCTACAGAAGGGCCCCCAGGAGGGGGCCCCCCCGTTCAGGGGCCCCCAGGAGGGGGGCCCCCTACAGAGGGGCCCCCCCGGGTACTGTTGAGGATACGTGAGGAGGAGAATTTGTTGCATTTGCAGTGGGGCCCTTTAACAATGAATTGGGGCTTAAGAGGTAATAAAGAAGAAAAGAGACTGAGCAGCAAAAGAGAGAAAGAAGCAAAAGAGACGCTGCTTAAGGTGATGAGCTGCCTATACACCGCAACTTTCATACCCCATCGTAAACCCTTCTTATTAAACCCTAAACCCTAAACCCTAAACCCTAAGAGAGGCATCCAAAGCAAAACTCAAACATCAAATGCTGCTGCTGCTGCTGCTGCTGCTGCTGCACTTTCTCTGCTGCAGCACTGGAACGACGTGCTGGGCATGCAAGCAAATGAAAAACCCCAGCTCCGCTACGTAAACCCTAAACCCTAAACCCTAAACCCTAAACCCTGAACCCTAAAGTCTAAAGTCTAGTGGGGAGGTATATTGTAGCAGTGTGTGTACGTAGGCGTAGGAATTGTTTGATTTATTCAAACATAATGTGTCTGCATGCATGCATGCATGAATGTATGTTTGGGTGTATCGGCAGTTGGGGTGTATGCGCAGCTCGGAACCGTTGAACATCAATTTAGTCATCAAGCGCACTTCGTTCATGTCTTTGCTGCACATATACACAAACAGCAGCAGCAGCAGCAAGAGCAGCAGCAGCAGCAAGAGCAGCAGCAGAAGCAGCGTTGGGCGACGATCCCAGAGGCCAAGGTAAGATTGAAGTATGATATATATTCTCCTTTTGAGGTGTACATACACCTGAAGTTTCTATTGTATTTTATTTCTTGTCTTATTCATGTATTGTCATCTTTTTTATACACTTAAAAATAGCAAACTTGAGGTGTACAGGCACCTGCTGTTGTCTTTAAAACATAAATAAAAATCTAAATAGCCTTCTCTGCGCATGCATGCATGCATGCATGCATGCATGCATGCTTGTCTTTGCTTTTGTATTTGTTTGTTTGGCGTTAGTAGCATCTCTTCTTTAGTTGTTTATTTATTTGTTTATCAGCACTTTGTTTTGTTTATTTATTTATTTATATATTTACATTCTGTTTGTTTTTCTGTATTTGTTTGGTTCTCCTACGTTTGTTAATTTGATTAATTTATTTATTTTAAAGTATTTATTTTATTTGTTTATTATTAATGTTGTATATTACCTCAATATTTATTTTATTTGTTTTGTTTATTGATATTATCTGTTTATTGTATTTATTTATTTGTTTTTTTTCTTTTATTATTCTCTTAGGCTCTGTGTACATGCAGCTACTTCAAGAAGCAGCTGCTGCTGCTGCTGCAGCCCTCAACATGTCTTAATCTGTTAGAACAATAAAATATAAAAGAAGAAATATGGTGTATATATACACCTCAGTATTATATATATATATATTTATATAAAAAGAAGAAAATCTGCTGCCTGTTAAGGCGGCAAAGCCAAACAATACCCGCAATAAATATTTTCTTCTCCAGGCTGCTGCTGCTACTGCTGTTCCTGCTGCTGCTGCTGCTGTTGCTGCTGCTGTCGCTGCTGCTGTTGCTGCTGCCACCAGAGGAACAGGCAAACACGAGGCTGCGGTGTATATTGTACTACCGCAAACACCTGCATGCAAAGAAATATACAATCACCATGCCGACTCAACATAAAAAGCATTCTGCTGCTGCTGTTGCTGCTGCAGCAGCTGCTGTTGCTGCTGCAGCAGCAGCAGAGGGGCTGTCGGCTCTGCGGGAAGGGGCGGCCAGCAGCAGCGCGAAGCATACAGCCAGACACCCGACAACAGAGTAGAAAGATACACACACACAAGGCAAATTCTGCTGCTGCTGCTGCTGCTGATCACAGGCGGGCGCTTTGTGCCCGCGAGCTTCTTGCAGGTGTCTCCTGTCTGTATTCATCTTTCTCTTGTTGCTGCTGCATCGAAGAGAAGAGCAGCAGCAATAAATGAAGATTGCGGAAGGCGGCGTCTCCAGTAGCAGCAGCAGCTGCAGCAGCAGCAACTGCAGCAGCAGCAGCTGCTGCTGCTGCTGCACAGGCTGCTGAACAGGAGTAGCAGCATATTAGCTACAGCATACGGGTGAATGAAGAAGGCGAGCAGGTGAATAAGAATAAGAAGATAAGAATAAGAGTAGAGATAAGAAGAGGGGTAGTTAGATAAATAAGTAAGCAGCAAATAAATAAATATATATATTCTGAAGACAACTGAATCATGCTAATTAGTGTATAAGACCTGCTAACCATGTATCCTTCCCAGGCAGCTTCTTGCATGCAACAGCAAATAACTTTACAGGGTCTCCCTTAAGCCCTTGTGCTCTCTCTGTTGATCTGGGGCCTCGACCCTCTAGTCGGTTAACAACTCTAGCATAATGTACTTCTAAGCATTGAAGTAATGCAGCAACAGTATCAGCAGCATCATCGTTAGGGTGTATACCCACAGATGCATGATACTGCCTCCAATCTGTTGCTGCAGCTAGTCTAAGACGCGCAAGCTCAAGCAAATCTCTTGTTATATCTGCTATTGATACACCTTGCTGCTGCCGCTCTTGCTGCTGTCTCTTAGATTCTTTCATAGAAACAGAAGATAGGCGAGACATCACCTCCAACTCTGTCTTATCTACAACCGCCATGTGTACTCGGAAGAGTGTCCAGTCTCTTATTTTTCTTTCTTCGTCATTCTGAGGGTATTCATTTAGTTCTGGGGCAGTACGTGTGTGAACAACAAATTCATAAAAGTCTTCTAGAGATGGTTTATCTCCTCGGAGAAAATCTATACGTTTAGACTCTTTATATATCTCATCAAAGTCTTTTGAACTAAACTCTTCTGAAAATGCATCTAATAAATCCTCAGCAGACACCAGAGGCGGGAAAGGCAGATCAGGGGTTGTGGACTCATCATCATCTTCATCATCTCCTTCAGTACTTGTATCTTCTTTTCTTTTAGATTCTTCTTCTGTCTTCTTTTCATCATCTACTCGTGGTAATTCGGGTGTATCCGCACCTTCTCCTTCTCCTGGCTTTATGCTACTCCTACGCTGTATTGCTTTCATTGCACCAAGCAGCAGCAATATCGCTGCTAATAAAACAATAGAGCTTCCTACTGTAGGGCCTCTTAATCCAAAGAAACGTCGACGCATATGAGGAAGATTGTTGGGTAGAGAAGCAACAGGGTTTTTATTGCCTGGGAGCAACTCTGAGCTGGCTCCGGGATCGATCCCCACATCTCGCGTGGGATCGACTTCCACATCGATCCTAGGATCGATCCCCGTTTCCCCATCCAATCCTATTGCTATATCTGCATCAGGATCCACTGCTGTTGAATATAAACCCCCTCCTGACGGCATACTTGCTGTCTCCCGAGATAAACCATCTCCATCGAAGCTGGGTTGAGCGCCTGTAGCTGAAAAAGTGTTTATATCAGCACTTTTATCTCTCCAGTCTAAGTCTTCAGGTGCTGCTGCATTTGCTGGCATCTTCGCAGTAGATAGACAGAGAAAAATAAAAAATATATATATGTATATATATATATATGTATATATATGTGTATATATATAGGCAGCGGAGCTGAGTAGCTGTGCTTGGAGAAAGGCGCTTCCGCGCCCCCACCAAACGTACAAATGAATAGACAAATAGACAAATAAATAAATAAATAAACAACAACAGAAAGAAAAGAAAAAAGCAGCAACAATCAGCAGCAATACGAGCGGCTCACCGTCAACCCTTGGAGGCTCCGAGAGAGAAAAAATACTTTAGGGTTTTCTGCGGTCTGCATGCAAATATGATGATAGTTTAATGTCATTTATACGAAATTTCAAGAAATAAAAGGAGCAGCCCTCATTACTGCTGAAAAATATCTTCATTTGCTTTCTTTTGCTGTCGAGTTTGCGGTCTATAGTTGGGGCTTGACGGATGTTTGAGGCAGAGGTATTTCTTCGCTTCTTTCTTTTAAATCTTCTTCATTTCTGAATCCTATGAGATAAACAAAAAGAAAAGAAAGAAAAGGATACCGTGATCACCGGAATATGTCGCCGGTTTACCTTTCAAAAGCATCGCTTTCCCTTTCGGAATACAGCTTTCTACTTCGCTCTGAAGCTGAAGAAGATGCTGCTGATCTCCAGGTAATAGGGGCTC